AGCGGATCAGTTTCAGGTAATGCCACACAGTCTTTGCTAGAAATGGACACGTTACGCCAATACTACAGTCGTTTAGTCCAAACTCCTAACCATGCCACGAATAGAACCGGCGGGTCTTTATTGATTGAGTATTCCTATTTTAGTTCAATTTTATACGGAGTATTAAAAAATGAGTTAACTTGATTGTGTGGTGTCCAGTTTTTATTACACTAAAAAAAATGTGTCACACTTGTAGTCAATTTGAATCTTTTATTTTTTAGTCTTTCACTTTTTCCAAAAGTGATATTTTAATAAGTCCTTAAACTAAAATTTTGTTGCAATAAATGCAGGACTAAAAATGTCATTGTCATAATACTTGAAAAATAAAAAATGTCACTTTTAGAATAGTCAATGACTGAATTTGAAATTTTTAAAATGAATGACTAAAAATATCACTCACAATATCATAAGGATCAAAAGAGAAAAGCTCAAAGATAATATCACAAGTGTCAATGACACAATAGTCGAACGACTAAAAAAGCAAAAAACTTTTTACATTAATGAAAGTTAACCAACATTAGCACGATCAACTTCGCTAGACTAACCTTGTGCTCCTAAGATTCCACCCAAACCCTTTAGAAAAATAAATTCGAGTTACTCGAACAATTCGAAAGCTTCTCACCGTCCTTTACATGTCACTGCATACAAAAAATCGCCCTAACTGAATGACTTTGTGCGTCCTCGATTCCCAACACATTTCTGAGATGCCAATCACCTCATACAACACCTCCCCATGCTAAGCCAGTCTCCTTTGGTCAACTTGAGCGTACATTTTCATGGGGTGGCCCCAACTCATGTAGGAGGCTCCTTTGTGTCTCGCCTCTCGGTGTGTACACTTGGTCCCGAAATTTGTATTTTCTAGACTATTTTAATTAAATTTCATTATATCGAGTCAATTAAAATAAATATCATTCTCCTAATTATTATGGGCTTTTAGAATGAATATATTTTCACCAACTTTAATTTAGTGGTCTCGGTAATATATTACGAGCTGTTATTCGATAATTTTCCAAACCTAGTAAATGGACCTCATTTGATCATCTGGTCAACTCTACGTCGTTTCTATGACCCAACATAAATATACATCATCATATAAATATTATCTAGACCAGGATGAATATAACATGTGGTTCCGTAAATTTTCGGGTGGTTCCCGCTCCCGATGCAAGCCCCACGTGCATTTTACTATTCACGTAAAACTAATAACAAAAATTTACAATCTCAAAAATTCATTAACCATTTCTCAAGGTTCAATAAATGATTTGGTAAAAAGTATATATATTTGAGGACGGTGTTACATTTTTAATTAGGGGTGGGCGCGGTCCGGAACGGTCCGGTAAATTAGTAAAATCCGTAATGTATCTGTGAGGTTTTTAACGGTCCGGTACGGTCCGGTTTCAAGGATGGAACCATTCGGTACCATGTCGTTTCGAAACGGTACAAAACGGTACGGTACAATGCCAACCACCTGCTAAAAAAAATTTGAACAAATTTTGCAATTAGCAGATATCATCACGCCAACCAACATTGATATAAATACAAGAAATTGCATATATAGGACTAAAATTCACAAATAAACAAATAGTGCAACACAACTAAGAAGGAGTATAGCAAAACGATGACGCACGAGATATATAAATATCATCCTTAATTTACTTAGTTCATGTGGAAATATAAAAAAAGAATATCATCAAATTATTGAATATAACAGAAATCCTCGACGTTCTTCTTCTTCTTATTCTTCTTCTTCTTCATTCTAGGTTAAATATTACTCCGTAGTTCTAATTTAATTTATAGTTGAACCTTGAGAGCTAAGATTTAAACCATATTAATTAAGTTGTAAAATTGCACAAACATGATACTACAAAAAGTCATGTATGCTAACATTACTAGAAATGAAGTCATTAATGATTTTTCTAAAATTTTAATATTCTTTCATTACATACACAAATATAACAAAAATTATCTAAAAAGAAAAAATAGCAATATTATATACTCCGTATATATATATACACACACACACACACACATTTAGCTATTTTAAGGACGCATAAATACATACTTGGGCTATAAAATTGTTGGTCTATAAAAGAGATCTATTGAATTGGTATAGAAAAATATTAAAAATTCAAGTGCATTATTTTCAAACGGTTCGGTCCGGTATTTTTCGGCTATCAAAATCTATGACCGGTCTCGTACCCGTTTCAAACGGTACGGTTTCGGTACGGGAAATATATATATATATATATATATATATATATATATATATATATAGAATAGAGATCAAATACAAAGCCTTCTTAATTTACAAAGTACAAACTCATCTTGACCGTCCGATGAGTTGATCCAAAGGACATAAAGGCAAGGTGGCATTTTTGTAATAAAACCCAACTTTTTAGGGTGCAACTCGTTGCACCTTAATGTGCAACTGTTATTTTTATGACTTTATAATGTGCAATACTTTGAACCTCAATATGCAATGCAAATAACGTCAAGGTGCATCGTACAAATATTTGCACAATAAGCACACTTTGTACTTGATCTTTCCCCTATATATATATATATATATATATATATATATATATATATATATATATATATATATATATAGGGCAGTTCACATCAGGAACTCCTGAAGAGAAGCCCCGTGCAGACAAGCCCATCAGAGGGTCTTCCCGGTGGAATTTTTTGATGAAATTTTTTGAGCATGTTCCTCATCAAGTCTAGTTTGTCCATACCAAATTTCAACTCAAAATTCGATCGGGAAGGCAGTCAAATAAATCCTGGAAATATACTGCACTTTATATGTGCGCAGAATGAGCTTCCCGATTAACTTGCAAAAATCATTTGACGACCTTCCCGATTGAATTTTTTGATGAAATTTGGTATGGATGAACTAGACTTGATGAGGAACATACACAAAAAATTTGAAAAAAAAAATACCACTGGGAAGGCCCCCAAAAGGAGGAGGCCGGACGGCGGCTCCGGTCAGGTATACCTGACCGGAAGATTACTCTATATATATATATATACATATACGGAAAAGATCCTGTCCAGCCGGAGGGACAGGATCCTCCGTCCGGCCGCCGCCGTTTAGGGCGGTTCCCGGTGGAGTTTTTTGATGAAATTTTTATGGAATGTTCCTCATCAAGTCTAGTTTATCCACAAAAAATTTCAGCTAAAAATTCGATCGGGAAGGTAGTCAAATAATTTTTTGAAACATAACTGCGTTTTATATGTTTAAGTTGGAGCAGTTATCTTCAAAAGATTATTTGACTACCTTCCCGATCGAATTTTTAGCTGAAATTTTTTGTGGATAAACTAGACTTGATGAGGAACATTCCATAAAAATTTCATCAAAAAACTCCACCGGGAACCGCCCCAAAAGGCGGCGGCCGGACGGAAGATCCTGTCCCTCCGACTGGACAGGATCATTCCTCTCTCTCTCTCTCTCTCTCTCTCTCTCTCTCTCTCTCTCTCTCTCTATATATATATATATATATATATATATATATATATATAAACCGTTTAAATACCCGGTATTAGGCCTGGACTCGGGCCGGTCGGACCGAACCAGAACCGGCCCGGACCGGTACTGTTTGTACCCGGCCCGGCCCGGGAACCGGTCAGGTGGACGGTTCGGGCCTAACCGGCCCGGTAGGTAGGCGGTCCGGGCTCGGGCCCTGCGAATGACGAACCGGCCCGGCTATTTTTTTAAAAAAAAATTCTTTTTAATTAAACAAGGCTCCCTAGCCGTTGGGAATAATCCCAAACGGGTCTATAGCCGTTGGAGGGGGGGTCCGGGGGGTTTGGGTGGGGATGGGGGTGGGGGGTGGGGGATACCAAACAAATCCTATTTATACTCCTATTTTCTCTACATTTTTCACACCATCTCCATACAATCCTACTCTCTAGTTTTCTATTCTCTCATACTCAATCATCTCCATCTTCATCTTCACCAAATCTCTCTACATATATATATTATTTATATAATTATTATATCTACTTATAATCTTATATATTAATTATCTACTTATATACATATATTATATTACTAATATTTATTATCTACTTAATATATACTTATTATCTACTTATACATCTCCATCTTTTTAATATTTACTTTGATATCTACTTATTATCTATATTTATTTTTATTTACTTATATATATATTAAAGTATTATATATAAGTGTATTACTCATTTTATAGTAATATACTTATATATTATATACTATAAACATTATATTATATATTAGTTATACAATTATATTAGTTACACTTGAATTCATAGTAATTAAATTCATCGTATTAGTTAATTTTTACATTTCTCATTATCCTAATTTAGTTTATTAATACTTGTCTCATTTTTTCTATTACTTACATTTTTTATAATTGTTACATTTTTCATTAAAGTATAAAACTAGTTAATTGTTACATTTTTCATTTCCCTATTAGTTAATTTGTTAATTGTTGCATTTTTCATAAAAGTATAAAACTAGTTAATTGTTACATTTTTCATTAAAGTATAAAACTAGTTAATTGTTACATTTTTCATTTCCCTATTATTTAATTTGTTAATTGTTGCATTTATCATAAAAGTAGAAAACTAGTTAATTGTTACATTTTTCATTAAAGTATAAAACTAGTTAATTGTTACATTTTTCATTTCCCTATTATTTAATTTGTTAATTGTTGCATTTATCATTAAAGTATAAAACTAGTTAATTGTTACATTTTTCATTTTCCTATTATTTAATTTGTTAATTGTTGCATTAAAGTATAAAACTAGTTAATTTTATTAGTAAGTGGATTCTTGGAAATTTGCTATAATTTTATTAGTTGCATTTTATTATTACTATTGAACATATATTAAAACGTTTGATATAATATAATATTTTTTACATTTTAAAGATGGACCGTGGTAGACATTGCGTAGATATGGGTAATCTCCAACGCAACCGAAGGAAGGAGATTGCGACAACTCATCCTAGTTTACGCAAAGGCAAAGGTAAAGGGCGGGCCGGGTCTTCTTCTCAAAGTCGAGAAGATTTTGAAACGGAGTACCAAATGCGAGATGGAGATGCGATGTCCGACGAGCAACTACAACAACTATTGGCGCAAAATGATGGTCGCTTTTTCCATCAACAAAACATCCCGGAGTCCATTGACGAAGAGGAGCTCGAAGATGAGGATGTGGAGGAGGACGCGGGGGGCAACGGCAGTCACGGCATCCCAGATGATCAGCAAGAGTTGGAGGACGAGGGTGATTCATATGAAGATGGTAAGAAGTCTAAATCTCCTATTATAGAAAATAATTTTACAAAGAGGAAAGACAAAACAACCGATAAATGGTACGCAAGTTGCAATCAGTGCAATAAGGAGTATAGCTTGGGAACTTCCGGCGGATACGAAAGCCTCAAAAGGCATCTTAAGTCCTCGCACTTTGTGGAGTATGCGAAAATAGACAAAGGCAAGGGGAAGCAAACTCAAATATCGAGGTTTGCAAATGACCAACCTTTTGGTAATTTCTCATACAATGATGCAAGAAATTTGACTGGTATGGCTAACTTACTTGTTGAAGAAAATTTGTCTTATTTGTTTTCTGAAAGTCTTGCTTTTAAATATTATGCACAAACTTGTTTAAATCCTCAATTTAGAGGTTATAGTCGCAAAACGGTTAAGAAAGAAATTATAAGGCTTTATCGTGCGGAAAAGGATAGGTTACAAAAAAAAATTGCAAACTTTGATGGCCATGTTACTATTTGTTCTGACATTTGGGAGGATACTTATCATAATTTACATTATTTGGGTCTTATTGCACATTTTATTGATAATGATTGGAATTTGCATAAATGTATTCTTGCTTTTCGTGAATTTAATAATCGTCACACTGCTGAACATATTTATATTTTGATTGAACGTATTCTGAGGCCGTTTGGAGGACTTGATATAGGCTGATAAGCCTGAAACTAGGGGAAAAAATGCCAAACACCCATCTAATGGGCTGTTTTGGCTGATAATTATTATCAGAACAAAAAACAACTCCCTGACTACTTTTATAGCTGAAATCGATTATTTGACTATTGGCTAGCAAAAAGGCCATCTTATCCTCCTGCATACAGAATACTACTTTATTGCTGGAAAATAACTGGAATACATAGCTTCAAACCTCTCCTTTGCAATCGAAGGTTTCTTGCTGGGCTGTTGTCTCTCTTCTTCTTACGAGACCAATGTCCCACTCCGATTTGTTTTTACGAGATACAAGTATACGATTTTCTATGCTCCAGGTTCCATGTTATTTATTGTTCTTGCCATTCTAAAAATGGCCGATTATAATGTTTTAAGAATGCTTAATAACAGAAACATTAGGAATATAATATTCCTTTGGAGTTGTAAGAGCTGCACACTCGTTTGAACATGTAGGCCAAGATCTAACTTCGTCTACAATAAAAAAAAAAACCTAATATCCTTTATGGTAAATTTACACTAAAACAGCCATTTCAGCTGAAATATTACCAAACGCTTTCACTTCAGAAATTTCAGCCTGATCAGCCATTTCAGCTGTTGCAGCTGTTACCAAACGGCCCCTCTAAATGAGTATAATTTGATTGATAAGGTGTTTGCTATAGGTTTTGATAATGCTACTAATAATACTGCTGCTATACCTAGATTGCGTAAATTGTGTGGTTCTAATACTTTGATGGGTAGATTTTTTCATCAACGATGTGCATGCCATGTTATAAATTTATGTGTGCAAGACGGTCTAAAATCGTTAGGAGATGCTATGGAGGTAGTCAAGGGGGGATTAGACGTATTTGGAGTAATGGTCAACTTAAATTAAAATGGAAAAATTATTTGATTGAAAGAGGTGTGAAATATGTTGCTTTTCCTAAAGATTTGTCTATTCGCTGGAATAGTACTTATAAATTAATTAAAGTTCTTCTTAGATATAAAGAATATTTTCCTGCTTTTTTAAGACAATATGATAACTATATTTTAAACTCCGCTCACATCGACACTTGCAAAAAATTTGAAATGTTTTGATATTTTTTAATAATGCAACCAAAAGTTTTAGTCATGTTTATAAACCTACCTCAAACGAATTTATTCGTGAAGTTATTAATCTCATCGGTGCTTTTAATGAATTTGAGAATGCCGCTTATGTGAGTTATTTTTTTGGTTTTATGAAGGAAAAGTTTTTAAAATATTATGCACATATTCCGCATATTTATGGTATTGCATTTATTCCCGATCCTCGTTTTAGACTTGGTAATTTGGAAAATTGTTTGAAGTTCTATTATCATGCTTTTTTTGGTCCATTTCCAATGTATGACGATAACGCCATAGATCCGCAAGTTGAATACAACGAGGTTAGTAATTTATTTTATGCCTTATTTAATGAGTTTCATGCACAATATGGCAACACGCCCTCTCCCCGGACACACACATCTTCATCTAAAGGAAAATCACTTTTTAAATCTGCTTTTGGCAATCTTATGAAAAAACTAAAACAACTCACACTACTGAACAAAGCGCACTTGATGAGATTTCTTTGTATATAAATTATGAGGTAGAATTTGACGAAAATGAGGAGTTTGACGTTCTAAAGTGGTAGAAGTCAAAAGAAAGAATGTTCCCGATTTTGGCACAGATGGCTAAGCAAGTGCTATCAATGCCGGTTTCAACAGTTGTCGTGGAACAAGAATTTAGTTCGGCCGGCGACGTTCTAACGACATCTAGAACGAGTTTGAGCGCAAAGTCTCTTGAGACGCTTATATGCTACCACGATTGATTGAAGACCATACGTAGAACTCAAGAAATTAGCATCACCCCCCTCCCAAGACTTTATGGATGAATCAACAACCGAGGGTGGCTCCTATGCCGGAGATTCCGATTGATTAATATTTTACAATTTATTATAAAATGTATTTCATGTTTTAATTTTTCCCTCAATTCCCTATTGTAATTTGTAAACTTGTAGTTTATATTTCAAATAAATATAAATTATTTTTTTTATATGTAGCACTTCTCAAATTAATTAATTGGTTACAAACTTACAACTTAGAATTAATTATATTAGTATTTATTAGAAAATGTATTTCATATTGAAGTTGTATAAATAATTTTAAAAAAAATTAAATAGGCCCGACCGGACCCAGCGGGTGGCCCGGCCCGAACCGGCACCGGGCAAAGGACGGGCCGGTCCTGGGCCCCCCATTACAGAACCGGAGGCCCGACCGCCCGGCCCGGGCCCGAATCCAGGCGTACCCGGTATTCGGTTCGGTACCATTATGGGACGGTTCAGTACCGGTTCGGTTCGGATTTTATGCCCACCCCTATTTTTAATAAGATAGAGTTTCACAAATTACATAATAGATAATATCTATATTTTCTATATTACACTCCTCAAACTGTGTAGGAGACATCACAGTTAGAAAAGAAAAACGCTAGGAAGATAAATTCTTAATGGATATATCTGCAAGTTGTAGTTGAGTGTGGATATTGTGAACTTTAAGATCTCCATGTGCAACTCTTTTACGAACAAAATGATAATCAAATCGAATATATTTGTTGCAATCACGTTGAACTGAATTAACTGCCATATATGAAGCAGAAACATTATCACATAATAACTTCACCAGAGCTGAACATAGGATACTGAGTTCGGTCAGAATGACAACAACAACATCCAAGTTCAAATACGCGCTTCTACTATTTATAATAGACCATTTGTAACTAACCATCAGCTAGTTTACAACAAACTCAGATTGTAACTGTACATATACTCTCTTCTTTATTTCCGGACAACTTAATGGAATGAGAACTTTTAATGTTTAGGGGTCAGTTGGGTCAGAACTGATCGTACACAAAGGGTGTCTTGAACGATATAGACCACAACATGATATTATAAACATGGGTAGTGATAGTTTCGTAAACAAAGTTCAATGAGATCAAATTCGAGATTGGATTCTAAAGAAACCTTTGCTTTCACTTCCATCAATTAATTTCCACTGACTATGAATGTCCTGCAAAATGTAAAGAAGACCATTGTTAATACTTAAATCATGAGTCATAACTGCATGTATTTAAAAAATGACAACAGATTAAGCATGTCAAACTGGAAAAGCCCCCCTGGAATGAAAAATTCTTCTGATCAGTGAGCAGCTTTCTCCCTCCTTTAGCAAGCACTAATCCAGCTGATGCTTCTTTCGGATAAATAGAAGTGCTCTTGCGAGATGAAGCTGCAACTTTACTTTTTGCCAACCTTGAGAAATAAGTGACTTTTGGATCGATCTGACCTTCATCGTTTACTGTGCACACGCTAGCTATACTAGCACTGGTTAATAGGCCTGTGTTTGGACCATGAAGCCAAGACAGCACAAAGGTGCACCGACATTCTTCTTCTTCTTCTTCATTCACACAAGAATGTGCTTTACGGTCAACCTAACATAATGACAAAATGGATTGTTTCTTCAAGTACATAATACACACGTCATTTAACATTCAATTGATCCCCACAACCCATCCACCCTAATCCACTAAAAAAACTGACCAAGCTGTTCCCCTAAATGTGGGCTAATATGGACGTAAATAGAGAGGGTTGGGTTTAAAATGCAGGAAACTATAGCCAGAAACTTTGAGTGGGATTTTCTTCTAGGCCAGAAAAAGAGTTTTTAGAGGAGGTTTGTTACTCCAATTAGCATTTGAGCTTATAGGTCTATAGAAGTCATGTTTTCACTGTTAGTTCCTTGAACCCACATCACCTTCTCCAGATATTTGTACACTACAACAGGGGCCTTGGGGGAAACATGAAAGAAAAGCTGAGACATTGATGTTATATTTGAAACCCAAGCCCATGTTTGCATGAAGTATTTGCAAATTACATACTCCATAGTAGGATTTATGACTACGATATAACTAGAAATGTAGGCCATATATTTTAGGTGATGACAGAGCAGTATTAGGAGAAATGAGGAGGCTGTAACATGTACAAGATACTGCACTAGGTGGCTTAGTATAAGCCATACATTACAACTACACTTCTTAATAATACAATCACAGTGGCTTAGTATAAACAATATATCAATCAAGTTTTTTTTTTAAATCAGACCATATCAAGTTAGCAAAATAGGCTAATCAATATCTACGGAAGTAACGGAATGCAGTAAATGGTTTACAGATATCAATAAAGCTCAATGTGCCTTTTTTGGTAACAAGGTTCTTTCTTACCGACTTCAGACTTTCAAGCCAGAGAATTTCTTTTTTGTGGAAATTAAACAAAAAAAACCAAGTTTTTATTGATGGCAGAAAGGACACGAAATAAATAAGAGCCTAATACCCTATCAGAAAACCTTTCAGCAAGATAACTTGCCCAGAAGACTTGTTGCACCAAACAGTTGTGCTATTTCAGACCAAATCCCATCTCCCTACTTTCCTCTGAGAGAGGTCCTACAAATAGTCTTGAACCAAATAATAAAGATAAGCATGACTCTACTATCTTTTTTCTAACCAAAACCCTCCTCCTCCCTTCAGTCACGTACCATGATTTGCATGTCACTTTGCAATATGTTACTAGCAGCTTGAGTGCAATATCTCAACACGAGCCTTCGGGCAAGTACGATGGTAGATTGAGATTTAGAAGGTTAGCCTATGCCTATGGTTACTGTTTGGAGAGCTACTGGGAAGAATGGAAATGTGCAAATTTTTATAGCAGTAGGTTGGAACATTTTAATGAAAATTACACAAACTCCCTGGGACCTTGCTAAAAACTTGCATACCTTTTTATTACTCCCTCCGTCCCTGAATGTTGTTCCAATTGCGGATTACGAAGGTTGACCGACGATAAAGTTAAATGATCCCTGTGAAAACTCGGATTATTTTTAGTAAATAAAATTTACATATTCAGAAACTACATTAAACCCGCTACAAAGCCTGCAAAAAAAAAAATCAATTTTCATAAAGTTTTGATACAAAAAGTAAGAGTTTAAGAGTGATTTAAGTTGACTCTCGAAAAGCGAAATGGAAGTAAATTTAGGGACAGAGGGAGTATTATTCAACAGCCTTACGGGCCTTTAAGTAGGCTGCAGAGTGTCTGGAAAGAAAGCAATTTAGAGGTGGCAATCAGAAAATAACACATAAGATCTCCAAAGATTCTCAAATCCTAACTTAATTTGTGTGATAGATCTCATTTATTGTTATTGATAGTGTAATGTGGTTACTTACTCTCTAACACAAGTATACAAATTAAATGAGTCTATACTAGAGAAACATTTCCTCCTACGTGCAACAGTGAAACAAATAAAAATGGTGATAAATGATCTGTGTAAATCAAATCACCACATAATTAGTGCAGTCATACACCACCATAATAGGTAAAAGTGTCACCAACATCGATGGTAATACAGTCAAGTGAAAAGACAAAAGGCTTCAATGGACTACTCCAATTAACAAAGCTAATCAACCACAAATAGGTAGTAGGCTTCTGTTGGACAGTAAGGTGTCTCTTTTTTTTTGTTCAACTGTTTAGAGCAGAGTATTAACTGTTTTGTTCTCTAGTAGTGTAGACGCGTAGTGGGTATTTAAATTCGGATCCACAAGACCAGAACTTATTGATCACCTAGTTGTACTTTAACTAGGTTACTAAACCTTAATCGAACAGTAAATACCATTTAGCAAAACAGTATGGAGAATCTTGTTTTACATTACCACCATCATTTACCATGTCATAAAGAAGACAGGTTTTTAAACCAACACTTCATTCACAGACAAGGTAGTCAAAGTCAAAAGGCGCACTTGAAGCGCCAGGGGCCTTCCAGCGCCTGAGGCGCAAGGCGGAATTAAAGCACTCGACTGACTCGGGTGAAGCGTATTACTTAAAAAATATCACATATACTATTCTATAATTACCAAATATGATGTATGTAACATCATATTGAACCAAATGCATAGAACAAAGCTGAGTATTTTATTTAGATTATAATGAGACAGTTTTTCAAACGTACGATACTATCTAGTGATCAACCCAGTGACATAAAATCAGAAATTTAAGATAAAAAACTGATAAACGTTTGTGTGTTTGGTGTGACTTGCGATGAAAATATGAAAACCTGGGATTACATCTTTGGAAAAGGACAAAGCACAGTATTATATACACGTTACAGTGTACCGGAATTTGTTAAATTAGTCCCGTAACTTTAGCCTATAGCTGATATTGGTCCTCTAACTTTATGTACTTGCAAAATACATCCTCCAAATAATATATTTGTTCAATTTCAGGACATTGGCGTCCGAAAGTTAAATTTTGGCCGGAAAGTTAAATTTTGGCCGGAAAGTTACATGTCTATCTCCCGCTATTGTAATTTTTTCCTAACTTTTGCAGATGACATGGATGTGGGCCCCACTTTACGACTTATTCCCAAACACTTCATTGTGCTCTCCCATGCTCTTCCAAACTCCCCATTAGAACAATAAAAGCACAAAACTTAAGAGAATAACGGAGGCTTCGTAACTCTTGGTCTGGCTTCTCCACATATTGAAGGAAGGTGAGTGTGTTCCTCTAAACTGCAAATAATGGCTCAGGCAAGGATATATTCTAGAAGGCCGATCTTTTAATTTTGATGGTTTCGAATTTTGCTTGAAAATATTAAAGATTTTATATGTAGTACTCCCTCGGTCCCCTTTTAAATGTTCTGGAATAGGGTGACATGAGTTTTAAGAAAAGTGGATTTGTATGGTTGATATTAATTGATAAAGCAAGAATAAAGTAAGAATGATTTTGAGCCACACAAATTTTAACAAATAAGGCATGAGACAATTAAATAGGGACATCCCAATATAGTAAAACGAGACATTTAAAAGGAGACGGATGGAGTATTACTTTGATATACAAGAAAAGAATTTCTAATGTTAAAGGTTCTAACAAGACATTATATTGGAACAAGAATAATACGAGTAGTTGATTAGCAAAACTAACGAGTTGTCTTTTACGTGGACCGTTTCTATAGTTACAAATAGAGGCTTTTAAAATTGAAAAGTGTTAAGAATTTTTTAAAAAATAGCCTGAAGTGCAGTGTTTTCAGTATGTTCACTTTTACAATTTCGTATTTGGAATTTATAAGAAATAAATTGAAAAAAATAGGGTCCCAAGTCGAGGTCAGCTAGGTCATATGAAAAAAATGAGCAGGTGGCGCTGATGTGTTAATTTCCGGCGGAATTATTACTCTCCGGCATAAATGTCCTGAAATTGGACAAATGTGTTAATTAGAGGACGTATTATGCAAGTAAATGAAGTTAGAGGACCAATATCGGGCACAGCCAAAAGTTACGGGACTAATTTAACAAATTTCCCTTACAGTGTACTACTACTATATTACGATTAGTATTATCACATAGTATGCTAGTAATATACATGTATACCAATAGCTCAATAAGTGGTGTACTAGTATTATTAGTTGATTACACATTTAGACAATACTATTTAGATACTAGTGTAGTATGAGTATAAGACTATATGTCTATATGAGTCTAAAATATTGGATGAAGAGGACTGCATAAAAGAACATGATGTATCTTTGTTATATACTTTATCCTTTTATCATTTTAACCTATACTTTTTATCCTTTTTATCTTACTCCGTATCATTTTTATCTTTATCTTATTTTTTTTATCTTATCTTATCCCCTTACCTAGCGGATAAGAGTTCGGCCATCAAAAATAAAAAAATACTCGGTAATTTAATAAATGCAAAAAAAAACAAGTAAATGAAGACAATGGGGGCGATAAAACAGGGAACACTGTAAAACCTACGATTTAGCGTTATTCTAGCAAGTGGGTGAAAAAACAACGAGAGGAAAAAGATGGAAGGGGATGTAGAGCGAGCAAGTGACTCACAGCTTCAACAATGGCATCGTAGTAGCGCATGTCGTCCCCGGGGAAGGCGTGACATGCAGCGCAAACAATGGAGCCTTTAGAGATTCTGCGGCATTCACTGTCCTGAAGCTGCGGCGAGACCACCCTAAACCTTCTGACGAACCGTTCGACGGCCTCTGGTGAATGGAACATTGAGGCAGCGATCTGGGCGGTTTCCCGAATGCCCCGGAAGTCGATCAACAGAGTGTCGCCTTGTAGCTGCACTTTCACGGTGTACCAAGCGTCGTCGTCCTCCGCGCGGAACTCCATATCCCGCTTCCCCATCAAATGCCGACGGATGATTGAAGCAGGGGGATCAGTTTCAGGTAATTCCCACTACGCCACTGGTAGAACCGGAGGGTCTTACTGAGTACTACCTATTTTAGTTCAAGAATTTTTCTCAACTTAGGCTATGTTTGCTATTGCTTCTGCTTCTCAAAAGTGATTTTAAAAAGTGATTATAGAAAAAGTGATTTTTAGTAAAAGTGGGTAGTGTTTGAGAATAGAAGTGATTTTAATTAAAACGTAAAAGTTGAAGTGTTTGATAAAAAAGTGATTTTTAATGTGATATTTTGTTGAAGACAATAATGCCCCTACATAGAAACAACCTAGCAACAGATCGTGGAGCTAAAGAAATCTACGGCCATGGCCACTAGATTTCTGGCAGACCATAGTGATGCCTTGGGCGCCATTCCTCTCCCCATATAGCTGTGATGGTGGTGCCTTGCCCATGTTTCTTTGTGCTTTTTTATATCCAGATCGGAACTTGGCCGGATTTGGAATTTGTGTGGTATCTCGTCGGTGGTGACAACTGAAATTTGGCTGGAGCTTACCTTGTTCACCATGGCCGGATGATGGAATTCAACGGAGGAGGTGGTCGATATAGGGGCGATGAAAAACAGTCCGGTAAACAAATTGTCTTTGCAGACAAGGGTAACTTGGGATTTGGGAAAAAGTTGAGGTATAAAAGTCTCCTCAAAGTTGTACATATTTACAAAAAGAAACCAAAAGCAGATAAAAGCATCTCGATGGTTGCTTCAGCTTTTGAGATAGAAGTGCTTATATTTAAGCAGAATTTTGTGTTTCCAAACACTATTTTTAGCTTTTGAGAAAGCAAAAGTCCAGAAGTGCTTAAAAAACGCAATGGAAAACATAGCCTTATAGTGCTCACCGCCCAATTTGAATATTTTTATTTTTTTAATCTTTGGACTAGGGATGGCAATGGGGCGGGGTTCTCTCCCCCATCCCCGACCCGTGTCTAAATAATCGCCCCCACCCCGCCCCATCCCCCACCACTATTTGACCCGCCCCGACCCGCTAGACCCACGGGTACCCAACGGGGGAAATATTCGTCAAAATATAATAACGTTTTAGACCATGACAGTTTTTCAAAAATTAAACAACACTTCTACTAGGAAAAAAATCTTTTAGATTTTAAGTGTCAATGTAATCTTACATCCCATTTCAAATCTAGAACACATTATACGCGTGTTGATTTAGTCATTTTATCAAACACTTTATTAGCATTGATTAGCTCTATAATATTTTCTTAAACCCTGCATTCAATCAACCGCGGTCATTTTACGGCATCTAGGACGACCTATGGTCACCAAATTTTTAAGAGCCTTAACTACAATCATAAAGATGACATTCATAAGAAAAGAATCAATGCATAGTAATAGTAAAAGAAGAAAACATTCACACTTTGCGAGGCGTTAAAACTAATATCACTTTATAACTTTCCCAAATTAATTTTACTTTATGATTTTGATAACCAATTTTACAAGATAGCTGAGTTATTAAACAAGAATTAGATAGATCCATTAAGCACAGCCCATTAGATA